GACTCGACAGCACATAACAACAATAACAACAACAGTTTTAAAGGCTTTGGACTTCAAGGTCAACTGGCATAATACAGTCCACAAAGACAACATCCAACTTTGGTGAACAGCAACTGGGGTCTTAAATGTTTGTGAGCAGCCATATAAGGTACAACTATTAAGCTCCCTGTCTGAAATATAGATAAAAGAAGAAAAACAAAAAATATACAGAGATAATTCATTCAAAGGACTACCAGACCAAATAAACATCAACTTTGATGACCCTGACACTACAGAACTAGATGGGGCCTGGTTACCACTGCTCAACACTCTAAAAAGGATCAAAATAGAAGGTCCTAGGCAGAGCAGGCCAAAAAAAGTGAAACAAAACACCTTAAAAAAAAAAAAGAAAAGCAGAAGCAGCAGCCAGGTTTAATGGTCTGATAAGATTTCTGATAGACTCTCACAGATTATGGCCTGTAGCTACTCTTTAAATCTGGAACAAAACTCACCCATATGACTCCACTTTCAAACAATAGACAGGCCTATAAAGTAAACAATAATGCCAGAAAAGTTCCCACTCCTTACAATGATCAACTGTATATGGTTAAATAAGCAGCATTTTCCCCAAGGATAAAGCTCTAAAAGCAAGAAGTGGTAGGATAAAAGGATCAACAGAAATGAGAATTATAAGGAGTAACTGGAAAAGGGAGTGTATTTATTGAAAATAATATCTTAAGACAAAGCCAATGAGTGGAAAACTAGTTTCATTTGTGGATTTTCACTCAAATCACATTTAGTAAAAGAAAAGAGATAAAGGCACAATATATGTTTCATTGTTTCTGAGTAGAAATGACTCACAGCCGACCTTCCAGTATGTTGTTCAGAGGCTATAAACTGCACAAGATGAGACTGTCCACCTTTCTCCTACAGAGCAGTTGGTTGACTCTAACTACCTGCATTTGGGTTGACAGCACAATTCCCTATCCATTAAGCCACTAGAGCTTCCTATATGTACCTAATTCACTCTCATTACTGTCCAGTCAGATGGGACTCAGGACCCTCCAGCAGGTTTTCAGAGGCTAACAATGCATGCACAGAAGACTGCCTATCTTTCTCCCTCAGAGCACTTGGTGGATTAGAATTGCTGGCTTCTGGGTTGGCAGTGCAACTAACTCCTTACCCAGTAGACTATCTGATCTCCCTATAGGTACCTAAAGAACCAGCAATTCCTGAACATTTTCATCAAAGATTCCAGAAAAGAATACTGATCAAAAGGGGGAAAAGAAAAGGGACAGAATTTCAAATCAGCCAAGTGCTGGGGGAACCCCTGAACCTATTTCCCTGAGGTAAAAGTTAACATTTAATAAAAAAAAAAAAAAAGAACCAGCAATTCTCATTCTAATTCTACATAGAAGAAACAAGCATATTTGCTCAAAAGACATATTTATACCTGTCCAAATGCAAGCTTTCTAGATACCATTAATAGCAAAAAATAGTGCTCAAAGTCCACACTGGGGGAAAGTGGATAATGCATGGGGAGAGGAAGCAAGATGCTTCTGGGTTATAAGAAATGTTGTTTATTTTGATCCTGGGCTGAGTGGATTTAACATCTTAAAAGAAAACACACCACCACCACCACCACCACCACCACCACCACCACAAACAACCACACAAACCACTAGGTTGGGTACTTATTATTTTTAACTTTGGAGTCTGCATTAAAGACAAAGAAAACAAAAGAAGGATGTTGGCAAAGAATCTTCTTTTAAAGAAATGACAGCAAGTGAGATTGTTCCACTACAAAAATACCACTGTTTCTTCAGTCAAATACACAGATATTTCTTCATTTAGTGGTTTCCACTCAGTTTGGAGCAGTTTGAGTTCATCAGTTGTTCTGTGGGAGAAAGATGGGCAATCTCATCCTGTGCAATTTACTGTCTATGAAAACCCCTGGAAGGTCAGTTATGGGTAATTTCTGAGTTGATGGTACATTAGCAACAACAATTCAATTTGCGACAGAAGCTGGGAAGGTCTGATGACCTTGGCAGTCAGGTGTGCTGCTAAGCCAGAAGTGGCTCCTCTCTGGTGGCTCAAATCTATCAGCAGCTCCATGGGAGAAATTGGGGTAATTTCCCAATTTAGACCCTTAGAAACCTGCTGGAGGGTCAGTCTAATTAGACACCAATGAATTGGGTTTGAGTTTATACTCAGTTTGTTGGAATCACTGGTTTTGAGCAGTTAGCCTAAGATCTGATTAAAAAGCTTAAGATCTAATACATCCACATTCCACTGAACCAGAATCTAACTTAATATAAGATGGAAATCTTCCATATAGCCAATAACATCACCTTCCTTTACAAGGCATAAATTCATTGAGGGAGGAGGAAGAGGAGAGTGAGAAGGGAGCAGAAAGAAGGGAGATGGGAGGTGGAAAGGGAAATGGGAGGAGGGAGGGGGAGGGGGAAAAAGAGGGAGAGCGAGACAGACAGAGATAGAAACAGATATTTTGTTGTTTTTCCTTACTTGGAAAAAGACATCATCATTCTGGGAAAGAGGGAAGAGTCAGAGAAAGAGGGGAAGACCTTCAACAAGATGGACAGACACGTGACTGCAACAATGGGCTTGAGTACACCAGAGATGGTAAGGATGGTCATTGTTCTTAAGTCAACTCAACAGTATCTAACAATAGCAACAAGACTCCACTCTTTAGGCTGTGCAGACAGTAAAGATTTGTTTCTATTAAGAAAAAATTTTAAAGGATCTTCATATAATTCAAATAAGCAAGCTAGGATGGGAAAGGAGCCCTGGTAGCAGTAATGTGTCAGGCTGCTTGATAATGGAAAGGCTAGCACTTTGAATCCACTGGCTGCTCCTCAGAAGTTTCCACCTATAAAGATTTACTGCCTCAAAGTAGCTCTGGTGGTATAGTCCTATAGTTTATTGTGTTGCTAACCAAGATTTAGAGTCTCAGAAATTCAATAGAGCGGTACTAATCAAGTAGGACCTGGCCAGGCAGCAGTATGTGTGGCTTTTCAAAAGAACAAGGAGCCCTGCAATAAGGAAAAATATCTGCAATCATTGTAATTATGCATAGTCTCCCTCAATGCTTTTGTGGGTACTTCAGATGCCTACCCTGAAAAGCATAGTCATAGAAGCTTAAAAGCTACAACAGTTACTTGGTTAGAGGCACATCTAGAATGAGAATCCAATTCTCCAATTTCAGGCTCTTCTGCACACAGGCCCAATGCAAGCACAGCAGCAGTAGGAGATACTATACAGTGTAATAACAAACTCTTACTCGGGAGGGATGAGGCCACTGGCAACTTAAACTAAGCAGGACTCCCTACTTAAGACAACTTGGGAGAAAATGTACTTGAAGCAAATGTCAATCGCTGTTACTGAGGAGGGTCTGACTGAAAGCGACCCTTCATCAGGTTTCCAACCCTGTAAATCACAATAGGAACTGATGGCCCATCTTTCTCTTGAAGAGCTACTGATGGATTCTACACCTGGCCTTTAGGTTAGCAGAACACCTTGTTAGACTGCACCATTCGAGTTCCTCAATTTAGTCAAATAAGTTCAAACAGCCACTCACCTTTCAAAATCATGCTTATAGATCTTGAAAGCTAGTGAGCAGCCACCTAAATACAACTATTAGTCTCCACCTGTCTGGAGTAAAACACTATGAATGAGATCAAAGGAAGAAGTTTACAGACTACTAGCCACATTTATCTGAATTTTTGAGACTAGAACTACTAGATGTTGCCTGGCTACTGCTAATAACCATTTTGACCTGAGATACAACAGAATGTCCCAGTTAGAATGGGAGAAAAATGTAAACAAACTCAATAGTCACAAAAATGACCAGCCCTATCAGGCTGATACAGAAGGTGGAATCTCATGACTACCACCCTAAGACATTCTTCTATTTGGAACCAAAACCTCCCCAGAGGTAAACAATGTACTGGATTATAAAATAAACAGTATCTACTGTGTGTACTGTGTCACTTAAACAGTTAACTATTTACGACCGAATGGTCAACATTTACAAAAAAACAAAGATGAGAAGGAAAGGAGGGGAAAGGAAGCTGGATCAATGGACACAGAACAAACAGAATGGAAATAACGAGAATGCGGCCCATTTAAAAAATTGTAACCAATGTCATGAATTAGTATTAAATAGAAACCCATTTTCATTGTAAAATTTCACCTTAAAAAAAAACCCCACAAACCCAAACCCAAAATACTGAAAAAGAAAAAAAAAAATCATACTAAATCAGTGAAAGAGGTCAACATAACAAGGGGTCATACACATTTATGCTGAATTCCAAAATAGTGGGAAGAATGAAGGACTTAGAGAAGGCAGAGTGGAGGGCTGAGGTTCCAAGGTCATGCATAAATTTAAGGCAATGGGGGAGGGGGCTGGGCAGGGAGAGAAGTGCAGCAATGAATGAATGGAAATCCAAAATCTCTCTAAATGTTCATGAAAATTATTAAAATAATAAAAAGAAAAAACCCAATGTAAATGAACTTTGTAAATAAACTAGTATAAAATAAAAAGTTTATATTAAAATTAAGGCAATCTATGAGCTCAAATTTTTAGGAACACTTACCCAGAATCACCCAGGATGATAACTTTCAGCAATACTTTCTTCCTAGAGGTCATCCTTCAAACTGAAAAAAGAAAGGAAAAAGCACTGTGAGAGTGACTGAAATACCAAGGTGAACTACATTTCCCTTTGGCACAAACATCTAAGCAGCCCCAGGATCTCTGTGCCCTGACCTTCCTGCTGACTATTTTCCTTCCACTCAGGGGGCTTCGATGAAGAGCATTATCAAGTCATTAGAACTCTGGACCAGAGACTAGGAAAGAGAGCAAGGGAGGGTTATTTTATCCCTGCGAGCAGCAGTCAGTAGGCAAGAATGTCTTTTCTGGAATTAACAGCTGTGCAGTTAATGCTCCAATTTACTCAGTAGCTCAAGTTCAGTGATGCTCTTTATCCAGGCCTCTTCTCAACCATCACGTTCTGAGAAAGGTGACCATTTATCTGACTCAACCCCTGCCCATTTGGTCTCTACCCCTTTTTCAGAGTATTTATCATTATTTGGCATATCTTTCTATGAATATTTACCTTGGGATTTGAGTAAGAGTTTATTGAGCAAATCCATTTTCCATTCAACCACTCATTTTGTTCCATCCACACTCTAACTCCATGCTTCCCACTTACTCCCTGTAACTCTTGTATCCATTGAGGTCTGGTGGCCTTGTCTGTCTGTAGAGAGTTATCATGTTAACCTAAAGGCAAGTGTGGTTTGAATCTACCAGCTGCTCTATGGGAGAAGGATGGCCAATCTCTTCCCATGTAATAGACAACCTAGGAAAACCTGACGAATGGTTTTGATTCAATCACGATGAGAGAGAAGTCCAACCCCTTCCTGCCTTCTGAGCTCTATGGACAAATGTTGCCCTTTTGCTCTTGTATGGCGACAATCGAATGGAGCTGTACTTTTCCTGGTGTCCACAAGTTAGGCCAGTCAAAGTGGGCCTACAGAGGCAAGATCTGTTCCAGAGGGAAGAGTGTAATTAAAGAGCCTCTATCACTTCTATGAGTTTTGTTGCATGTTTTTCTCCTACTCTGTCCAGGCAGGGCTATCTTCTGAGATCCCTTCTGGAGTAGAACAAAAGGGTCACAGAGGTTTAGGTTCGCATGAATCATTTATTTTCCATGGTTTGTTTCTATGAATTTTTGCTTTTCTTCCTTGTTCTTTGTTCTAGATGGTGAAACACCAATAGTTGCACCTAAGATGAGTGATCACAAGTTTTTAAGATGTGAGGAACTTTGTACCAACTTGATGGGTTTTTTTTTCCAACTTGATGTTTTAATCACCAACTACATGTTTTAAGCATTGTATTATGTTTCACTGTATCTCCCATGTCTAGGAGAGAATTACTATCAAATACTAGTTTAGTCTATTTATTCCTGACCATCTTTCCCAGAAAACCTATTAGCAGCCTTCCAAATACCAGATCATACAACATGTAAGATGGCTAATTCGTGTTTCATTCTGTAGGTATTCACCACAATGTGGACTATTTGCATAGCCAAAAAAAAAATCTTGTCTTAGTTCCTTTGGAATATTTTGAGACTGACTAAATGTTAGAAAAGCCAGTGCGCTAAATTGTTGGCCCGATGCTACTGACTTATTGAAGGAACTTTCTTCAGAGAGCTGAAATCCCCAGGGGGAGGCTTACATTGTCTTCTTGAATTGGGGATAAATGAAATGTGAACACTAAAAAAATGCACATATGTTTTCTGAGAACTCCTTGCTTTGGACCCTAAGATGTTCTCATTTCTGCAAAGCTTGCTTCTTTCAGTCTTCCATCGTATCTAGAGTTTTTCTATCTGTGGTGATGGGCAAACTTAAAAGCATCTCCATGAGTGGCTCTCCATAAGCACCCAGTGCCTTTCCCAGTGAGAGTCTCACTATTAGGTTCACAAAAATGTAGAGGAGCAAAGGAAGCATTAGGAGTTGGTCCTTTCAAATAAGCAATCCTGCACTGAAAAGAGGATTTGAAACCCACTATTTTGGAATGCTGGAACTTGACTGGATGTTTATAATCAGGACAAGCTTAAGGAGGAGATGGAAATTTAAATTCAAGTAAGAGTCAAACAATGAACTATGCAAAAATTATTACAAAATCAACACATACATACCCCTGTTGGATTTCTATATACTGGCAATAAAGATAAGGATCATGGACAGGCTTGTATCCTCTCAAAACACATGTATATAATGGTATAATATGGAAGCTATATAATGATCTCCCATGGTATGGTAAACCAAATAGTTTCTGGAGGATTAAGGGTGAGATACAACCTTCCCTAATCAGATATATGAAGCTTTATCCTGTTGTTAGGTGCTTTCTTCGAGCATGACATATAGCAATCCCATGTAAAGCCAACTTGAACCCTGCTCTATCCTGTGCCATCCGCATCATTTCTGACATACCTGAGCACATTGCTGAAGTCATATCTTTCCAAGCACAATGTCCCTTTCTAAGAAGCAGCCTCTCTAGAAACATGTCCAAAGTATGAGATGGAGCTTTGTCATCTTTTCCTCCAAGAAGCACTCTGGCTGCACTTTCCTCAAGACGGCTTATTCTTTCGGCAATCCATGGGATATTACGTATTCTGCTCCAGCACCAACTCAAAGGCCTCAATTTCACTTCTTTTTGTCATCCTTATTCACCGTCTAGCTCTTGGATGCACAGCAGGTGCTATATAGAAAAGATCATAGTCTGAATCAGGCTCACCTTAAGTCTTGAAGTGGACATAATTGCTCCTCAGCATTTTGGAGAGGTCCTTAACAGTAGACTTCCCTAAGGAAATGTCTCCTGATTTCATAACTGTTAAGGCCAAAGGTATTGATTACGCATGCAAACAAGATAAAATCATGGACAGCTTCAATTCTTTATTTGTCATGATGCTGTCTGTTGGCTCTGTGGTGAGGATTTGTTTCCTTGATGTTGAGATGTAATCTATATCAAAGTTCTTGATCATCTGTAGCAAGCATTTCAAGTTTTCCTTACTTTCAGCAAGCAAGGTTGTGTCATCTGCGATACACACATTATGGATGACTCTTCCTCAGAACCTGATGCCGCATTCCTCTTCATAGAGTCCACTATTTATTTGCTTGGCAGAAAGACTGAACAGGAGAAAGGATACAACTCTGATGCAGTCTTCCTGATTTTAAATCTGGTCGTTTTCCCTTGCTCCATCTGGACAATAGTTTCTTGATCTAGGTGTGGATTTCGCATGAGCAAAATTAAGTGTTCTGCAATTCTCATTCTTATCAACATTAGCCATAATTTGGCTAATATTCCACACAGTCAAATGCCTTTGCATAATTAAAAAAAAATAAATAAAACATCCTTCTGGTATTCTCTGCTTTCAGCCAAGACTCATTTCTATCCCTGGTGCCAAGATCTCTTCTATACCCATGTCAAACTTCTGGTAGTTCTCAGTCAATGTACTGTTTTAGCATGATCTTCAGCACAATTTTGCTTACATGGGATATTGATGGTATGGTTGTACAATTTCACATTCTGTTTTGTCACCTTTTGTCAGGATCAGTACATGTATTTGTTCCAGTCAGCTGTCCTCCACATTTCCTGGCACAGAATGGTGAGCACATCCAAGTCACAACTTTTAGTTGAAACATGTTAAGTGGTATCCCATTGATTCTTGGGGCCTATTTTTATGCCAATGCCTTCAGTTCAGCTTGAACTCAATCCTTCACTACCACTGATGACTGTTCATATGGTACTTCCTAAATTTTTCCTTGTGGCCTAATTCCTTTTGGTACAGGTACCTCCATTTATTCCTTCTATCTTCTTTGAGCCTTCTTGGATCATTCAAGATTTTGCCTATAGCATCTCTCAGTGTTGCAAATGGAAGCCTGAGTTTGTTTTTCCATTTTTCAAGCTGAATTCTTCCCTTTTGAGTTCAGCTCTCTGCACATTCTGTTATAAAATTTTGTTTTGTCTTGTCAAGCTGCCCTTTTAAAATCTTCTGTTCAGCTCTTCTAATTTTGACATCTCTTCCTTTGGTTTTGGCTCCTTGATGCTCTAATTCAGTTTCTTCTGATACTCATTTTACTTTTTTTTTTCTTTATCCTGTTTGTAATGAGCTTTTGCTCTCTTCATGGATGTTATCTCTAATGGCCTACCACAGTTCCTCTGGTCTTTGTACCCTACTGTACTTTTTCTCTAACATAACTCAAAGGAATCAATTCTTCTGTTATTCTTATTCACTGTCCAACTTTCAGATACACAGAAAATAATTGGAAAGACCACGACTTGAATCAGGTGCATTTTATGTCTTTAAACTAACAGCACTTCTCCTTGGAGAGGTCCCTGAGAGCAGATTTTTTCAGTGCAACACGTCTTTCGATTTCTTGACTAATACCAATAGTGTTGATTGTGGACCCAAGCAAGATAAAACTGCTGACAACTACAATGTTTTCTCCTTCTATTATGCTGTTGCCTGTTGGTCCAGTGGTGAAGACTTTTGTTTTCTTGATGCTGAGATATAATCCACATTGAAGGCTGTAGTCTTCGATCTTCCACAAAAAGGATTTGAAGTCCTCCTCACTTTCCGACTGCTCACAGGGAAAGGGAGAGGGTCAGCGAAAAGAGAGGAAGCCTGTCAAAATGGACTGACACAGTAACTACATCAGTGGGTTTTGAGCATGACAGAGATGATGATAATGGCACAGGACAGAGTGAAGCTCAGATCTGCTGTTCATATAAACCCCAAGAGTCCTGGTGAACTCTACAGCACCCAACAACATCACAAGCTTTAAGAGACTAAATTTGTTTGATAAAGCACTGGATAACTAAACACAATTCAAAACAGAAATTAAGAAACAATGCTAACTACAAGAACACAAAATATGTAGTAGGAGACACATGAAAACTCAAACTACAAAATACTGCTGAAAGAAATTAAAGAAGACTTATATGAGCAGCACTTGTTACAGAATGCAAGGGACTTCAAGTAGCCAAAAAGATTTTCAAAACCACATGTTGTTGTTATGTGCCATCGAGTCGTTTCCGACTCATAGCGACCCTATGCACAACAGCTCTAAACCCTGCTCTATCCTGCGCCAAC